ATGAGAGAGTGCGTGTGTGCGGGGAGGAGGGTGGCGTGCGCCTGTGTTTGGCTAGTGCCTCATTCTCCACATGCCCAGGATTTCTCAGCAATAACTGGCACCAGAGCTCGCAGGAAAATGGTGGGATGCAGCGCGCGTTCCAGAATTAACGTACCCCCCCCACACACACACACACACACGGCTGCGGCTGCTTTAATCCTTGCGGTTTCTGGAATCCCCAGAGGAAGAGTAAAAAGATAGGCCAAGGGTGACATGCTTGGCCACAATATACTACAGTCCGCAGAGACGGTGTGGTATCAAGATGGCGCTGCCAAATTCTGTGCTCACCGGAGTCACCTTGTTTGAGGGGAAAAAAATGTTCCCGGAAAAAGGGGGTTACAGGGCCACTCGCTGCACGCCCCCGAAAATTCCCTTCATCTCCGACTGTGCATAGAGAACAGAGAAGGAGCAGGGAGGACAGAGAAGGAGCAGGGAGGACAGAGAAGGAGTAGGGAGGAGAGAGAATGAGCAGAGAGGACAGAGAAGAAGTAGGGAGGAGAGAGAAGAAGCATAGAGAACAGAGAAGCAGCAGGGAGGACAGAGAAGGAGCAGGGAGAACAGAGAAGGAGCAGAGAGGACAGAGAAGAAGTAGGGAGGAGAGAGAAGAAGCATAGAGAACAGAGAAGCAGCAGGGAGGACAGAGAAGGAGCGGGGAGAACAGAGAAGCAGCAGGGAGGACAGAGAAGGAGCAGGGAGAACAGAGAAGGAGCAGAGAAGACAGAGAAGAAGTAGGGAGGAGAGAGAACAGAGAAGGAGCAGGGAGGACAGAGAAGAAGTAGGGAGAACAGAGAAGGAGCATAGAGAACAGAGGTGGAGCAGGGAGGGCAGAGAAGAAGAATGGAGGACAGAGAAGGAGCAGGGAGGACATAGAAGGAGCAGGGAGGACAGAGAAGAAGCATAGAAAACAGAGAAGGAGCAGGGAGGACAGAGAAAAAGCATGGAGGAAAGAGAATGAGCAGGCAGGACAGAGAAGAAGCATCGAGAACAGAGAAGGAGCAGGGAGGACCGAGGAAGCATGAAGAAAAGAGAAGAATAATGGAGGACAGAGAAGGAGCAAGAAGGAAAGAGAAGGAGCAGGGAGGACAGAGAAGGAGCAGGGTGAACAGAGAAGAAGCATGGAGGAGAGAGAAGCATGGAGGACAGAGAGGGAGCATGAAGGAAAGAGGAGTGGGGAGGACAGAGAAGAAGGAAAGGCAGAGAAGACAGAGGAAGCAGAGAGGAAAGAGATGGAACAGAAAGGAGATATAAGGAGTAAAGGGGACAAAGAAGAAGCCAGAAGGACAGAGAAGGAGCAGAAAGGATAGAGATGTGGCAGAGAGGACTAAAAAAGAACAGAAATGTGGAGATGGAGTAGGAGATTAGAGATGGAGGAAGGAGGTCAGAGGAGAAGAAGCATGGAGGACAGAGAAGCAGGGAGTACAGAGGTGGAGCAAGAAGGAGCAGAGAGGCCAGAGATGAGCAGAGAGGACAGTGAAGGTTCAGGGAGGAAGAGAATAGATTACAGAAAACAAAGAGGGAGCAGAAGGGACACAGAAGGAGCAGAGAGGACAAATATAGAGTGCAGGAGACAGAGAGAGAGCAGAGCAGAAAGAAGTAATGAGGACAGAGAAGAAGCATGGAGGACAGATAAGGAGCAGGGAGAATAGAGAGAGAGCAGAGAGGATAGAGAAAGAGCTGGGAAGAAAATGGAAGCAATGGCCAGCTTTCCAGCCCGGCCATGGAAATCTATTGCTTTTCAACATGTAGGGGTTTGTTTGGTTGTTGTCGGGTACCAATCATCAGCAAAGGAGCAAGTAGACAGGTTCTCTTTTTTTCCTATATGGAGTTGGAAACCCTTTTTATGTTATGAGTAACCCGACACTGACGCGGCCGTAGTACATCGTGTGTTTTACTCTGCTACCGTTTGGCCAATGTGCAGACATTTGTTAGTAATCAGACTCCACCATTGTTCTGCCTCTTGCCTGCGTCCCGCTGGACCCTTCGCTGCACATTCTCGGCTAGGGAGGTTTAAGTGTCGGCTCAGCCCTCGGGCACATCAGCTGGTGTGACCCCCTGCGTCTGGCACGTGCTGGAGGTCACCCTGAGGCTGGATATTCAGCTGGTACTTGACCTTGTCTACCTGGGTGTCAGGATCAGAGGAGGCTGGGGAGCAGCTGGCCTCAGCTGTGACATAGTGGGAGGCTGACCCCCCCCT